TGTAGAAGTCCATCTTCTAGAACCTTCTCTTTTAGGTGTTCTCTTTCAAATTGGTGCAACTTCCACCACCGGATCCCCCGTTCCGTTCTTGTCCTTGACTTCTTAGGAAGATCGATGGCTATGCCTGCTAGAAGAGGTCTGTGCTGTGGAGCCAGATCTCCTCCGGGCAGTACCTTGGTGTCCTTTACAGCTTTGAGGGACGATCTTCTTACTAGCACATGATATCTTTCCGTTTCTTTCCCTCCACTGCTGTAGGTTACCTTCTGGGACTTCCTTTTCGCGAAGAAGGTGCTGCAGACTGCCAAAACGTGGGCTATGGTCAGGGCAAAGACTCCCTCTCCTTCTTCGTTTCTGACTTCTACTCCTCTACCTCCATGTACCCTTTCCAGTCTCCTCCTTTCATTGCCGACGTGCCCATTCAGATCACCTGCTATGATGAAGTAGCCCTCCTCCGGTACTAATCGGATGGCCTCGTCAGGGCTCAGACAGACTTCATCCTTTTCGTAGACGGGGCAGCCGGCTTGAGGTGCGTAAATTGTTATCATTGTTCAGTACCCCTCCTTCGTGTCTATCCTCACAGCCATGGTTCGACTGTTGATCCTGTTGACGGCAGTGGCAGAGTCTTTCAGGGACTCTGCCACTGCATGGCCACGCCATTTTGTTTGGTGCCTTCTCCGTTGTAGAAGAGTTTGACACCCTCTCCAATTTCTCTTGCCTTTGCTCCCTTCCAGCGGGTCTCCTGAAGACATAGGAGTTGGATATGCCTGCGCTTCATAAGATCAGCGACCCTATTCGAACTAACTTCTTTGGCAGAGGTCCACAGTCCACAGTGACGTCCTAGCTTTATCACTGATACTCTTTGAGACTTCAGACATATTTGTTGTGACTGGTTTCTCCATCAGCCGGCCTGCCAACCTGGGTCTGACGCAGCAACCGATACCATTTTTGCAATGTTTGCAAGGCATGGAGTTGCCTCGGCAGGGATCGAACTCGCAATCCCTCTAAGTGCAGACGTGAGTCTACACTCCTATCCACTCGGCTAACCCTGCCTTTGTAAACATTCATCTCAACTTATTTTTACTTGATGAAGCGATCAAGAAAGCCTTCGGAATAGAACAACTTTCAAAAGAAGAGCGTTGCATCAAGATTGAACAAGGTCATTTGTGACTCGGCAAAAACTATTGAAGGTTTGTTAAAAATCAGTGCTGCAACCACAAAACGGCCCTGATCTCGTGCCATTGGGATACCACCTAATCAAGTTTTTGTAGAATTCATTGTATGAGAAAACCTTCACTGAAGATAAGGATATCAAACTTTATGTGGTCCAGATTTTGCCACGTAAAAACTGAGAATGCCAAGAGAGAGGATTTATTTTTCTGAAACGCTCAAAGATCACAATTACTTCCCTACTTTTTACAGCCCTAGTAACTACACAGTTAATGTTTTCAGGGACTAAGCTTGAAATGCCAAAGGAAACTGAGCTCTTGCAATGTTAATCAAAGTGAGGTTAAAGGAATAAGATTATAGAACGCCGTCCGAGTGTTCTGGAAGAGGCGCTATCGACAGTTCGTGCTAAGTTTGCCGACAATTTGTCCAAGTTCGAGAAACTAACCTTTTCATCGGAAGTGATTACGCTTGACAAAATACCAGAAGAAGGTTTGCTTTTTGTTGTCAAGACTTCGAATCCACTATGCATATCTGACTAGAATATCTTTGCCTTGCCCTTATAAGTCTACTGATTTAGCGGAGAAGTTCTAAAAATCACATACATACTCGTTTCACGCATAAAGGGAAGTTTAATCACATAGCATCAAAGGGTGGGGTGAATAATGACCTAACAGGTTTTTTTATGCTAAGCTGCTTTTAATCCAGGCAATGTAATGCGATTTCTTTGCTTTTCTTCCCAAATTTTGCTTGGTTGTAAATTTGGGAAATTTGGAAGCTAGGGCAAAAACGCTACGGCCGACACAATGGTCGAGTTTTCCATGTTGAGCTACCCTCATCATTCGATTACCATTCTTTCTTTGTTAGCTCATCCACTCTGCACCTATCTCTGCTGTGTGACCTTCATGTCTCTCTCTAGCAGGTCATACGCCTTTGCACACTCACCTGCATCAGTAGCAGTAGCCGCACTATAGGCTATCCTATGGCCTGTATACTCTCTAGATAAGATCACTGCTCGACCAAGTTATGAAGCGTGACTTTTCTCCCTGTTCAAATGTTCTTAGAAAGTCATTATTCGACCTTGTTGGGCAGTCCTGTACAAAACTACGTCAGACGGTACTCGAGGCCGTACTTGTGCTATCCTGGCACCGTGCTCTATTCCTTACACTACCGGAATCTCGCTTTCCCTCGCCTTCTTGATTGCTTTTATGCCATAGCTTATCAGTACTTATACGTACAACTTGGTGAGCCCGTCAGCATAGAACCGTTAAGCTGTAAGCTTCACTTGATATAACTTTTTTTGACTTCACGTATTGTTGATTGCTCTTATTTCGCCGCATTCCAAAATTCTCTTGAGATAGGCGAGACAAGATGAAAGCCATTAAGAAGGCGAAGGCAAGCGGAGCTTGATAGCATGGTGTGGGGCATTCGAGTCGTTCTAAGAATTACAAAAACACAGAAGCAGTTTTCAGTCATATTCTGCAGCAACTCTTAAGAGCATGAATGGAGATGTTAATTCAAGCAGAGAACCTTGAGTTTTGCAAAATTCCACATTTCAAATGTTTATTATTTGAATAAAACTCCAGCAATGTGGTTACCACCATTCTAAACCCAAGTCTAAGTCTCGCACCGAATCTCTTACGGACACGTTTTAGCATCGCCAGTGCTATCGCACAAGCTTCTTGTTCTATCCAAGCTTTCAAAAGCTGTACCGTTGTTGAATGATTCTCAAAGCATTGGAAAAGAAATGTCCATCGCTCGTCGCAGTAATCGCAGTAATCGCAAGAACTCAGTTCGGGCGATCGTGGGGGCCGTACCGAATTCTGGTTTTTATTAATCGCTACCTACTTCCTCACTGCACNACCCACCCTGCTCCACACTTATAAAGAGTAAAGAATACGGTGCTCGGATAGCAAGTATCAGCCCATCCGGGGCCAAGTTTTGTCCATAAAGATGCTTGACAATTTTTACTTGTACTTCAAGCCCTTCGAGGAGAGCGATTTTTCTTTTCACAGATTTGAACCCAATTTTGTCTGTAGCTCATTTTTCAAGAAGATTCGATGAAACTTGGAAGTACAAATCCCAGCTGTCAATTGCAAAAGGAATTTGGAAATAGTATAATTGGTTGATCTTCCTGTTTTTGCTGCTTGTCTTGTTCTTTTCTTTCTTGTTGTGTCTCGTGTCTTTCTTGTTTATTTTTTCCGCTTCGCTTTTGTTAATTTTCATTTAGCTTCTCAAGTTTCGGCGTTTCTATTTATGTTCACGTCTCAAGAACTTCAATAAGACTTTTTTCTTAAAGTTTTTCTTCCCAACGAAACAACCTCAGCATATTGTGATTTATTATAATAGAAAACTTCACTACCAGCTGTCTACTCTCTTTTTTCCTCCTTCAGATTTTATGAAAATCAGGAACTGCAGTCTGCTGGCCTTGCCATTAACCCCTAATGAATACGAAGCTCCTTATATGGTTTATCTGAACCATCTAAGGAGCTTCATATTCATTAGGGATGAACGGCAGGCCAACAAATCATAATACAACCTGTTCTTTAACGCCCAGATACAAACTCCGCAATTCCACTTCACCAACCGTTGCGCTTTGCCTAATCACAGTTCCAGTGGTGCGAGCCGTTGCCACAACTGATTGTAAGGCAAGTATCGCGAAAAGACCAGGGTACATGGATTATCTTGAGAAAGGAATTGTTTATGTAGGCAAGGATCGTTGACATCCCATGATCTTACATATATGGTTTTCTCCATGGAGAAAAGAAGAAATATTCGATATATTCATTTGTTAGTCACTGCTAGGTATAAAAAGATTTAAAGGCCCACCCTCGAGAACCAATAGGAAGGGTCTAATGAATCTAACAACCAGTAGTGTTGCCTTTTTTCTATGACGTGAATGTGGCAATACTAAATGCTACGTAAATAGAAAAGCGTTTGTAGCTTTTAACTTTTGAAAACGGAGGGATAAGAACACCCCCTATTGACTTAAGATCAGCTTAATTATTATCGCTCAAGCACTTATACCCTCACGAGTCTAAAGGATACGGTGAAGTGGAGTTCCAAATACAAAATGAGTTCCAAATACAAATTAAGCAACGAAGGTGAACCATTTCATGTTAAGAAGCGGCTGAAATTCGTGGGCAAAACGTCACGGGCATCGAAGTTCGAATAGCTCTGAAATCATTATTTTGCACACTTTCTCTCCTCGAACCAGACACGCCACAGAATAAGCTAGAAGGTATGTTTCAAAGCTATCCACAACGTGTAAAGATNTTCTCTACAAGGTTGCAGTGGTGTTCCATGTGTACGATTCGGATGCAAACGGCTTTTTGGATAAAGCGGAACTTGAGGGAATCATCGAGCAGATGATGGACGTGGCTCGGCATCAGCAGTGGGACACAATTGAACTAGAACCAGTAAGTCTTCAATGGGGCTTACCTCTTAGAGCTCTACGAAAAAGCTCAATACCATCAGATTCTTCGCCAAATGATGGCTGATATCGATACGAACAACGACGGCATTGTGTCATTAGATGAGTGGCGTAACGGTGGTCTTACAAATATTCCGCTGCTCGTCCTGCTGGGAATCGACACGGTTCGTCTTTTACCATATACAACGCTAATTTATCTTATTCTGTTCTCTGCCATGCTCGTGCCACTTGCCATCTCAATTTGAACAAGAGGGGCCTGAGTTGAGCATCTCTTTGACCCCTCGCACCGGTTCGATCAGCCTACTGACCTTCACTTTCGAGCATTCCCACTGCTTAAGGCTACGTCTCGTAGAGGCTTTCTGCTTGACATGAACTCTGCCTAGTTTAGCTATAGCGGCCATTCTCACACAGATAGGCGGGGTGGGGGGTTTTTCTACTCAAATTCCCAGTGGTCGCGATTTCACTCGTTATTAAGGTAATCTTCTTTTAGGATTTTGGAACTTTCCTTTCATGGCGTGCGAGCTACTGCGGCAATCGCGGCGTGTTGTTGCATTGCATGCAAACATGCATTGTTTCACCGACTGACCGACCGACCGAAGTCGTTGTTGGCTACGTGTTGACAACGCAGGACAGATTGCGTTTAGGGCCGCGTGAATGGTATCCATTGGTCCAGCGTCTCACATGGCCAGCAACGCCGTTGATCTGTGAAACAATCACATCATTTAACTATGAAATCATCCATGCATGAAGCACACTCGCATTCAGACAATCAATCCCGCAATGCTCTCTAGTTTCTGGGCTTCCAAGTCGAATCCGAAGAAATTTTGCGTATCTGAGAAGCGAAAAACGCACAAGAACGCTCAAACTTGTTTCTTCGCTCCCATTGCCTATTTTGGTTTTTCGGTCACACCGACAGAAACCTTTCGACCTCCTAAGGGTCAATAGGTCTTGTCTCTTATCAGTTTTTACTTGCCACTGTCATAGCTACTGTTCAACATTTCCTGATTCCCATCCTTACCAGTAGATCTGAGAAATGTCGAACACTACTCATGACACAAACGATTTTTAGGCGCACTCTTAGCACAAACCACTCTACAATGCAATTACTTGAGTATTCCACGTGGACAGGAAAGGGCTCGTAGGTCTAGTCTGGTTCAGCTTGTCCCTTATCCAACAAAACGAAACAGCAAGAACATGGCAAACTTTGGGTCTGCCATACTTGAGATACAACAACTTCTATGGCCCATTTGGTTCTCATACAGTATACAGCAGATAATAAAAGCTTCCGCATTCCAAACTCATGCGGAAAAGCAAGTTACAGAAATAGCTGTAATCGTCAACTAAAGACCCTTTGTGAGACAGTCTTACACTGAAGTGATTCTTATACTTTTGATTCGATCGTTTTTCCTGCACCGAATTAAATTTTCGAGAAGCTCAGGCGAGAGAGGATAATTTATGAACTATCGAATGGGTGAAGTCAAAGGCGCTCAAATACCTTCATTATAACCCATACTAAACCTGACCTGAGACACATGGGTAGTAATTACTTCTATGGCAAACAGGTGTTTTTTTTNTTTTTTTTATAAAATATTTGTTTTGCTTTATATTTCGACAAGTTCACTGTCTCGAAAGCCTGAAAGTAACTACCAACAATGAATACTCACGCCAGTACCTTCCAAGAGCACCGAGCGCATGCTCAACTTTGAACACAGTGGTTGAGATAGAACTCAACTATCGCATAAGCATCATCAATAGCAGCACCTTACGTGTGCGCCTCTCTATAAAGGCTCTTATAGTGGCATATCAGGCAAGTGATCACCGGTTAGCTGATGCACTCATTCTTGTTATTGATATTCATGTGCTGATAAACAACAGCTTTGCGTGCACAGTATTCAGCTTTTCCACACGGACAATCACGCACATTTCCATGACCGAATCCCTATTTGATCAACTGCACATATAATTTTGCCTCTTGGTATTTCAGCTGAGGAGTGATGAATAGTAACAAAAACAGAATATGAAAATCAAAATCAGAATATGAACTAACATCGAGCGTGTTCAGGAAATGACCGAGGACGGCACTCATTCGTGGAGGCTGCGTCACTTCAACAAGCCGACTCACTGTAACGCATGTTGTAGTCTACTTGTGGGCTGGGGAGGAAAACAAGGACTGAGCTGCTCCCGTGAGTGATTTCTCACGATGTCTGTCACATCAATCAATTTGATGAAGAAAAAACGCGTGGTATGATCGAACATTAGCAGAAAGTACTTCATTTAGCGCAGTACGGCGATACGCGATGACACGGGTAGAATTCCGGCGGTGAGACACGAAATAGATCCCGCTTTCGTCGCACCGAGGCTAGCACCGAGGCATATCATTGCTCCTAGAACGTTCGCATACATAGCTGCGGCGAAAAGTCTTCTTTGAAATATCTTTTTTCGTTCTCAACCATCATTTCATCGGCGTTTACGACAGGATATATTCCTTTGTTCAAACGCAAAAGTCTAAAATACAAAATTCATTTTTCTGCAAATAGCTGATTACCACTTTATCTAAAGCAATAGTAATATGATTTGAGTTGAACTGTACTTGTATGAACTTTTGCTGAGGTGGAACCCATTGCGTCTTTCCCGCTTCCATACTTTTGCAATAGAAGAAATACGTACACACTATATATACATATGCAAGTATGTAGGTATATACAGATATATCTATACATATGTACTCATACACATTCACATACACATATATGCAATACCCGTACCGCTATCGCTACGATGATTCTCAGTTTTTCTGAGCAGACGCCAACCTCGTTCACAGCCTATATTCTACATAATCGCATGACGTGCCCGATCCACCTGATCTTCAATTCCTGAAAGTATGCGACAAACTCACTTATGGATTCATCTGCATTTCCATGTGTTCCAAGCATCGCCCTTCCAACTAAGCCGCAATAGCCGCTACAGTTTGCTCATCCAGTCTTGGCGGCCTCGAGGCGCAAACTAAGGCACGAAGGACAGCATAATTGAAAGTAGGGCGTCCCGGAAGGATATGATGATGGTGATCATTTCCTTTTCAACTTCCACCCAACTCAACCTTCTAAATATCTCCACTCAACCGTCAGCTGGTTCCTTACTGTTCAGCCGCATGGTTGTTTCGATCATTGACTTGATATTTCGACTCGCGTGCACGTAGCTGTAGCATCAGGAATCGGTCCGCTTCTCATGAGTACCGTCTTCATTAGGTTAAGATGCAAACAATCTCTCCCCATGTGTTAATAGTTGGCCTGCGTTCGTTTCGCCTGCTCTATGTTCTATTTGTAGGCATGATACCGTCCACAAGCGTAATGGTGTAAGTAACAATCGTCGACCTTCACTCCCATATTTTCCCATTCCGTATGAAGCATGACGTTTCCAAGAGTGGCATTAAAAAAGGTTGAGGGAGTTCATCGCCTTGCCAAACCCCTCTCCTCGAGCTGACCATGACTTTCAAATAGAGTGGTTGAGATACTGATCGTGAAGCTGTTGCAGAAAGAAGGACACGGCTGTCGCCGCGAAACCACTTCCGCTGGTCGTTGGAATTTGGGGAGAACGTTTGTCAACCCCTGAATAAAGACGTAGAAAAGCTATACAATGTGTGTCGTTGCGTACGTGTGGGTCCTGGTGCGGTTAGCCGACTATAGTGAGCAAAAAGTTCATTGCAACTCATTCACTCATAAGCACAAGATAACGAAAACACACTATTAACAACAAAAATAACAGACCTTTTCATCTTCTTTGGGTAGAAAACAAGATAAAGGACCGCAGCAGCAAAAAGAATAGCAGAGAATAACAGAATAAGAGTAAAACATCGCCTCATCACTCGGCGATCAGCTGATTGCGTGTTGAACGTGTGGGTCGTGGCGCGAATATTACCATCTCTACCGCCTCTGATGCTGAGGGGTAATCTAAGTAACCATTTTTATCATGAACAGTGCCTTCGAGCGATGGATGTCAATATCACTCCCTTCTGTGGTGTCTGGTCGGAAGAGTGGCGCCTTTTATATATTCGGATAGATTGTTGGTCTGTCTGATAAACGAACAGATAAAGTGGTTCAGTGATCGATTTGTTCGAAACAAACACAAAACACCCTGTTGCGGGTGGTGTACAAGAAAGAGAGTCTCTCCTGAGCCCCGCCCCTACGGAGCGGGGGTGACAGCGGGTTATGGCTCATACCAGAACACAATCTTATACACCTCAACAGACTTATAGCCTTCCAAGAATGGGTTCCTTGCTTTCAACATATACCACGTAAAAAACCTAGCGGCAATTCTGACGATAACTGGACGAATCCATCCTAAGATGGTACGTAAGGAAGTAGACGTGGCTGTTGAAGTGATCAAGGTGAGAGTTGTAAGTGAATCCCTCCATCACCCTTCAAGATGTCCTGTCAGGACGACAAAGTCAAAGCCAACTTGGTCTTGTGATTAGCGAAGCTCCCGTAGGCCTTGTGAATGCTTTTTCTAATTTTGACATTTTCAATCTGGACTGCTGCTGTTCTCTCTTTCAGCTCTTCCCTTATCGTTTCTGTTCGCTAGATCGTACGTTAGACGATAGATGAGTGCGGCTCGTACAGTTTCACGGTAGCATGTCAACTCAAAAATCTTCGAAGAACAGCTTCTCTTGACTCATCCATTCAAGTACACCTAAGCGTGTGCCGTCTCACACGAAACAAAAAGCTCTACGGCAGTGGCCTTATTTAAACAACTAAGAAAAGCAAAAAAGATAAGAAAGAAGACAAGGAAGAATCCAAATGTAAAGTCCAGAGCTGGAAAGGAATAGCCTGTCCCATGAGAAGAAATCGTACGAGCTAGAAAAAGGCAGAAAAGAGCAAGAGGATGGCATGATAGGTATTAGTGAAATCATACTGGAAACTTCCTCGCGTGCACAAGAAGGCTGCTTTCGCACGAAAAGAAGATATTTGCCAAAATCGTGGTTTTCAGTCCAACGCGCATAGAGTAGCGACAGCACTGAGGCTCTCTCATATCCTAGCCGGATACGAAAAAATCCGTTAGAGAAACTAGGCGAGTAGATCAAAGAAGTTTTGGGTGGGAGGGTGTGTCGTCCTACGGTTCCTCGACTACATATAAAATCTAAGCTCACAGCATTTTCAAAAGCTACACCCTTACAGCCTGCTTTTTGCTCCGAAGAAATAGAGGAAAGTAATAAAGCAGGTCTGAAGTGAAGAGAGAAAAGCATGACCCGGACAAACCCGAGAAGGCAACGACAGAAACAACTACAACTGCTACAACAGAAATACTGCCCAGTGTAAAGCTTAAAAAATGTGGTGAATTCTAGCCTTTCCCTTCACTTGAAGTTCCTTTCTGCATTCATACACTCATGAAAAATATGTGTTCTATTTCAATGATGGCAAAATATATCAGTCTCCCTTTCGAACACGATAACCTCAAGGAAGTTCTGCGGACGTTTAAAAGTTTTAATGGATACTTCAAATACCCGTGGCGATGGTCGTGTAAAACTAAACCAAAAAAAAAGATTCGGGTCCGGTGTCTTCTCCCCGAGCAGTGCGTCGCGTTCACCGCACCCGCCGTGTATCGCAGAAAGGCGAATTGGAGGTTGGAGCGCGCAATTTGTGAGTCAGGGAGTCCTTCAATTATTTGAATACGCTGGCCGCTCATTTCAATTCCAATGCGGTCTCGGTAGTCGATAATAAATTTAGGAGGAGTCATTCCTAGCAAGCAAGTCTAGTAAAGTTAGAAACAGAAAAGAAGTAGAAAAAAAAACAATCAAACGAAAAAGAGAGGCAGTCAGCGAAAAATATTTCGTTCCATTTGGAGGGGAGGCGGGCTGAGTGCGGTAGTTGCCGTTTGAAGCCGCAGGACGATTGAAGATTTGCCAAATGTCGCAAAGCGCACTTTAGAATTCGGGGAGAAGTTCCGTCAAACAGGAGATTCGTGTGCTTCCTTTCAGGAATAATAGCTCCAAAGTCATACTCCAATTCTTCACAACTTCTATCAACGTTCAGTACGTACACTAATTACTATCGACTATTATAGTGTGCAAGTACACGGTACATGAAAGGTGTGTCAAAAGTGCAGCTGCAAACTGCATTCGCACGTTCTCCAATCGGCAGCAAGGTGAGCATTATCCGATACCATTATGTTATAGCAATAGTGGTTCTAAAACCCTGAGTATTCCAATGATTTCCATACTTCGAAAGCGAGTGGTACTGCAGCTTTCAGATAAGTTGTACCATCATTGGCAGGACGCCAACACAACGGCAAAATGCGCGCGATGTCGTACCAGTGTGGGCGCATTTCAAGGAAAGCGATGTCGTTGGTGTCGCAGTTATGTAAGTTTGACCAATAACAAGTCGAAGTAAGGAGGTCTATGCGATCTGAAACATTAAGGTTCATCACCGATGTATGGCTTCACTTGCACAGGAATGCGACCTTGGAACCCTTTCGTATCACGTCCTGCCACCCACGCACATATTTCCCGTATTCTTGGAAAGGAAGTCAGTGTCGCTCAAAGGACAACAATGGCAAACGAGTCTACTTCAGGTGATGGCTATTAAATCAAACTCTCCTCCAGATCGATTAAAGAATTCAGGCGACCAGCCCAGGCGTCCACTCACGTCCCTTGCTTGTCTTGGTCAACCCAAAAAGTGGCGGTAAGCAAGGAATTAAGATTTTGCAGAAGTTCACATATCTGCTGAATCCACGGCAGGTGTACGATCTCTCGAAAAGTGGTCCAGAACCTGGGTTGGTTGTACAAAAGTTATTCACTACATTCCTTGACGCAGACCAATCAATGAAGTAATCAACTTCATTAATGAGTGATACGTTCATTTTTCATAGAGGTAAGTGATACTCTCCTCATCACATTTGGAATTGTGTGGGCTGAAGAAATTCAACTCACAGCTTGCTAATGGTGATAAAGAGAGTATCACTAACCGTAATTTAATCTGAAGATTTAAATGCTGCGAGACTGAAATCAATGACAGAATGTGATGAGAAAGGCTGACTCCATTGCCAAATTTTTGAGCTGGTCCCGGCAACAGTGTCTCTTTCAAGACGAGGTGAAATGATGATGATCACACTGCCACACTAGCTTGACCAGAGTGTGAAAGCAAATGAACAAAGGTAACAGAATCTTTTTCTTGAAGGCTTGAACTCTTCTCCACGGTCAAAGATTGCAATGTATTGGTGTGTGGCGGAGACGGTACAATAGGATGGGTCCTTGAGTCAATGGGTCTGTATTGTAGAGTAACAGGCATTCGAACAAACTTCTGACCTTTGCCTTTCAGACAAAATGGAAGTACAGTTTGTACATGGAAGGCCGCCAGTATCTGTGCTTCCTCTGGGAACTGGTAACGATTTGGCTAGATGTCTACGATGGGGTGGAGGATACGAAAACGAGAGTCTATACAAAATTTTGAGTCAAATTGAAAAGGCCACTTTGGTAAGAAAATGTTTGTGCTCATGAGGCTCAGTAACCGGACATTTTTCAGGTGGATTTAGACAGATGGTTCATCAAGATATCGCCAAAGGAATCCAACCGAAAAAATGACAAAGGCGATTCACAACCATATCACATTATTAACAATTACTTTAGCATTGGTGTGGTTCGTACCGTTTCAGAAGCCAGCTATCAATTCATTTGCACTGTTGTGACTGTCCCCTTTTTGTTCTGTAACGACTATATTGCAGGATGCCTCAATCGCCCATCGATTTCACGTGATGCGCGAAAAGTACCCTGAAAAGTTCAACAGTCGAATGAGGAATAAGCTGTGGTAAGAAGTTCTGACACGCGTAAAACGCGTTACTCCTAAAGTATAATTTCAGGTATTTCGAATTAGGTACGAGCGAGACTCTCTCCAGTTCATGTAAGAAGCTTCACGAGCATATTAATATTCACGTAAGTCAGTGATGGAAACAGAGACCTGATACCTTCATTACCACAGCCTTTGTTAAAGTTCGAGATATTTCCTCAGAGTATTTACACGATATAATGTCATCGAAAGTGGAATCTGACTTGGTGAAGTGTGTTCTATGCGGAAATCCGATTTCGTTGCATGTGACTTCGCTCTCTAGACAGCTTCCAAAAATTTTTTGCTATATTCTTACTATATATGGAACGCTCGTGTTTGTCTGTCCGTCTGTTTGTCTGTTTGCACAGAAATTCATAACTCCTGTCCCCGCGGACCAAGAGCGTTCAAATTGAGTAGGAGCACACGCGGGATGGTGGATGACGGAGAACGTCCGTTGCGCGCGTCCGTCAAAAGTAGGTCACCCCGCCCACTCCGCGCGCGGCGCACCCTAACTGAGGTCTTGACATGACATTACAGTACCACCAAGTGTCAGTGGAGCGAATGGTTTGCATTTGTCCGTGATATCCTCCCTTTGGCTGGCTGCTGTGGACCAAGCGCATATCGTATGCCCCACAGACAACTGCGGCGTTTGTCAAAAATCGCGGGCCGACGCGTCGCATGCGATGGCTGCGGCGTAACCTAGCTTCGACGAACACGCGCAACGAAGCGCACCCGTGGATAACAGGATCGGACTCCGCCCCAGGGGGTGGGGTTTGCGCGAATCAAGTGTTAGAACGGGAGAATCATAAAGCTTGTTCCCACGGAAGTAGAGTGTTCAAAGTCGGTAAGAGTACAGGAGGCAGGATGGGAACACTCATGGTAGGTGGCAGGACCGGAGCCCGCCCACAAAGGGCAGGATTTGCGCGGAATAAATGTTTGAGCGGAAAATACAATAGTAACTCCTGTCTCCGTCACCGAGAACGCTCCAATTTGGTAGGAGCACAGGTAGCAGGATAGAAACAGTGACGTGGGTGATAGGATCGGACACGGTTCACAGGGGGCGGGGTTTGCGCGAATTAAGTATTGGAGCGGGAAAATCGTAACTCTTGTTCCTGTGGAACTAGGAGCACAGGGCAGGATGGGAACAGCAACAGGCATGTGAAATGTGGGATGTGATGGGGTCGAACTGATAACAACTGATAAGAGCTGATAAGTGGCCACAGAAAGCAAGACCTATCTACGAAATAGAAGCCCGACGGAGAAATCAGTTCGACGTTGAAGTATGTAGTTTTGGTTCTTCAGTATGTTTCATTTTGATAAGACGGGATGGTAAAGTAGGGCGACAAAAAGTTAATGGTAAGTGCAGTGATAGGAACCGATTAAAGCTTCTTTATTGTGAAGAGATAAAAATCAAGTTCATCTATTGCTGTCATATCATGACCGCTCCCAAGCTAGGTTTGTGACCCAATGAGATATCACGGTTCCTCTTTGCCTTTTTATTAACCGCTACAAAGCTCATTCAACCGCTAATGATCTAGGAGCCTCTACTAATGATAGATCCTTAGAGAAAAAGTTCTATGAATAACATCCACCTGTTCTTACAGTCTGCTTCTCCTTGAAATATAAAGAGTCACTAGGCCTTTTTTTCAAGAGACTTTGCTCATAAGAATGGTGAGCACGTTCAATTGTTAGTAACGATAGAATGAACTCTTTTAACCTTCTTACGGAGTAAAGTTCTGTGAGCCAATCATTGAAGTAACTTCTATGTCGAGCGTTGCTTTTGACTACATAATCGCAGCACTGTGTATCCAGATGCGTGCATAGCCCAATTGGTATTGTATAAAGCGCTCGCGCCTGTCTGTTTGTCTGTTTGTACTGAAATTCGATATTACCTGAAGAAGCACCTGCAGAAGTGGGGTCAAGTTCGGGACGGGTTGGGCATAGGACAAGAACAACAGAGCACATATGAGCTCAGCGGAGCTCCACCCCCAAGGGGCGGGGCATGCGCCGGAATTGAGCGGGGTCATAGGCAAATTTTTTTCATTCGCTCTAATAACATAACAGTCCAGACACCGGGAAGCATCGTACGAAGGTGGGGAATGGGCCAACAATCAGAAGAAAGGAAATCATCGGAGGTGAGCGGAGCCTTCTCGCAGTGGGCGGTACTTCCCACAACTCGATTAAACGAAGGCGTCGAAACCAGGAGAAAATAAAAAGAGTGAGCAAGGCCAATTGGGTGCTGAGCATGTGCAAGCTTAGCGAACCCCGCCCACGATGGGCGGAGCGTGCGTTGAAATCTCAATATGTGCCGATGCTTATGTTCACCCATGATTGCATTATATAAACCGAATTTTTTTCTTTTCATAATAAAAATCGGTCCCAATCACTGCACTTTTCACTCGTTTTTTGCCACCCTTTAGCATCCTGTCTTATCAAATGAAACACACTAGAAAGCCGAAACTACATCTTTAATCCTCTTCTTCTTCTCCTTTTTTTTGCCGTAACCGTAGCTTTAGTGCAGTCTTTCTTGATCAGGCGCGATCTCTTCTTCGGGACTCTTCGTCTTTTCCCCAGCGTTTCTTTTGCACTTCATAGGAAGATCTTTACGGCGTTACTCCAGGTCTGATGGATAGGCCCTTCGTTGGGGACTGGAAGTTCAGTCTCCAGTATTTTCTCCGTGAGGTGTTCTTTTTATACTCAGTGCACTTCCATCATCGAGTCCTCCGTTCCGCTCCTCCCCTTGGAAAGATCGATCGCTATGCCTGCTACGGGAGACCTGTGCTGTGTAGCCAGGTCTCCTTCAGGCAGTACTTTGTTGTCTTTCATAGTTTTGAGGAACGATCTTATTACGAACACATGATTTATTTCCGTTTTTTTCCTTTCACTGGTGTAGTTAACGTTCTTAATCTTCCTTTTTGTGAAAAAGGTGCTACACACTGCCAAGTCATTGGTCATGGCCAGATTGAAAACCCTTTTTCCTTAATCGTCTCTGTCTCTTATTCCTCTACCTTCATTAACTTTCCAGTCATATGCTTTCACTGCCGACGTGCCCATTCAGATCACCTTCTATGGTGAGTAATGTGGGGGAGGACTCTAGGCCTGATGCTGGTACAGAATTAATTCCAGTAACCCTCCTTCGTGCCTACCTTCACAGCAATGATTCGACGGCTGATCCTGTTGACGGCGGATGAAGAGTCTCTGAGGGGCTCCGCCACTGCTATAACCACACCATTCCGTTCGGGTGTCTTCTCCGTTGTAGGAAATTAACGAGATCACCTTCGACTTCTAACCTTTGCTCCTTTCCAGCGGGTCTTCCGAAAGCGTAGGACTTGGATATTCCTGCGGTTCATAAGATCAGCGGCTTCTTGGACTTCCCAGTGAGCGATCCCACACTCGAAGCCCCAATTCGAACTAATCAACTTCTTTGATCGAAGTTCTCTCCTGGGTGCGCTTCGTTGCGCGTGTCCGTCGAAACTAGGTCACGCCGCAGCCATCGCACGCGGCGATTCAGCCTGCGATACTTGACAGACGTCGCAATTGTCACTGGGGCATACGCTTTGCGTTTGGTTCACGGCAGTCAGTTCAAGAAGAAGATAACACAGACAAATGCAAATCATTTGCTCCAATGACACTTGGTGGTACTGTAATGTCATCTCGAGACCTCAGTGTGATGCGCCGCGCGCGAAGTGGGTGGGGTGACTTACTTTCGACGGACACGGGCAACGGACGTTCTCTGTTCTCTCCTTAGTAGTCCTTGCATACTCAGACAAGGATCCTGCAGGCCACTTACGGGTGACGTTCTAGCTTGATCACTGATACGTTTTCAGACTGCAGCATGGTTTTTGTGACTAGGTTTCTTTTTAAGCCGGCTTGTCAAACTAGGCCTGACGCTGGTATGGATATCACTTGTGCAACTCTGCAAGACATGGAATTACCTTGGCAAGACTCGAACCCGCGCTCTTTTAGTGCAGACGTGATACTAATCCTTATGCACTCTGCTATCCCTGCCTCAAAGCTCATCTTCAATACCGAACTAACTTCACCGTTAGGGACTCATTCGGTAGATGACTCTTGCTTTCTGGAGCTCTTTATCAGCTCTTATCAGCTGTTATCAATTCCTGCCACAGAGTACCTGCGACCTCGTCACATCCAATATCACTTATTGTAATGCCAAGGGCGTGTGCGGGTCATAGGTTTTCCGTGTTAACACGGAGGGCGTCACACGTCATCAGTTACCAACAATCGTTAACAATCCCTATCACTAAACATCTACAGCCCTTTTCTAATCCACACTGCTACCAAAGTGCCAAGGCTTCACCATTAATATGGAGGAGGTAACGTGTCATGCAGGTCTTGCCTTTAAAGGCCCCTCATCAATTCCCAACACTGACTGTGCCACTCTTACCAAATTTCAAGGCTTTAGGTTTGAACGAAGAGTGATTATGAATTTCCGCCTATACATTTAGTTCGCGCGAACCCCAACCCTGTGGGCACAGTTCGGTCCTCTCACTTACCGGCTGTGTTACCCTCCTGCCGTATGTGCTCCTACCAAATGAAGGTTCTAGATGCACTGGAAAAGTAAAAGTTACACTGTATTTCTGGTCGGACACACACACTGACCCACCCACCCACACACACGCATGCAAACATTTTTAGAGGTGTGTGCTTTTTATCATTCCTCAGCTTCTTGCTTTCACCATTTCAATTCAACTTTTCCCGACAATGTGGTGGATTTCATATGCAGAATGACATCAATTTCATTCATGCTTGTATGTCACTACAATTAGAAATGTGCTTTTTTAGTGTGATGGAGAGGCGGTAGATCTTGGGCAGGACTGTTCATTAGAAGGTATCGCTTTGTTGAATATCCACTCCATCTACGGAGGCTCCGATCTTTGGGGAAAGAGCCGAAAAGGAAAGCCACGCTTTACGGTACTTCCTATGTTGGTTTCACTAAAGGTCGATATCTCTGAATAATCTCTTTTTAGTTTCAAATATCTCGTACGAACTCAGACGAAAAGATGCTACTGCAGTCGAGAGTACAGGACATCGGTGACGGCCTCATTGAGGTAAACGGTTCGACTTGTAAAAAGATTTTGCAAATGCACCATTGTTTACAGCTTGTTGGATTGGAATCAGCTATGCAAATGGGTCAAATTAAAGCCGGGGTAGGAGGGGCTCGCAGGCTGTCGCAGTGCTCCACCATCGTTATCGAGTATCTTTTTCAAACTTGCTTGAACTTATTTTTAGAAGTTCTGCCATTTTTAGCCTTTTTAGAACCTTGAAGCCGTTTCCAATGCAAATTGATGGCGAACCGTGGATGCAAGAACCTTGCATGATCCAAATCACCCACAAAAATCAAGTGAAGCTGTTAGTTGGTGAGCGACATTTCAACTCTGATAGAGGATGACTATTTCAAAAAATGTGGCAGTTTCAGCACCAAGGAAAAGAAGCTCTTGGTCGTTGTTGAGCCGTCAGTCAACATCTGATGATCTCTAATAGTCACTAGTCATAAGAAGAATGTTATCATAGCTTTCATCACATTGTAACCTTATAAGCAGCACAATCTTCTATCATGATGAAGAATGAACTGAATGGAATCCAGTAGGGAACGGCTGTTCCTATCGTCGACGAAACCAGGTCACGCGTCGCGCGCGACGCCGCCTACTGCCTTTCGGAATGAGCACGTTTGAACTGTGCAATGATTTTGCGGTGTGAATTATTTCATTGCGCGCCGGTATTTGAATGCAACTGAGAGCGCGGCCATTGGAGAATGAATGAGACCTGCTTGAAGTAGAAGCAAAGTGACGTGGAATTGACGTAGCGAATTTTTCATATTAAATATAGAGGAATCAGAAAATTAGGCAGTAAGACGCCCTTCACTCCCTACCACTACGTTGTCGTCTCACCGTCTAAGACACCCCGAGTAACGGAACTTCTCCCCTATCGCGGCATTCTCCCTTGCGGCATGCGGCAAATGTGTCTGCAATTACCGTACTCATCCCGCCTCCCGCCAATCGATAGGACGCGATATTTCTCGTTGATTGCCTTGCTTTTTTGTTGGATTTGTTCGTTTCTTCTTCCGTTTCTTTTTCGTTTTCATGTTTATTACACTTGATTAATTGTAATGACTCCTCCTATGTAAGCGGCGATTAAGACTGCATTGAAATTGAAGAAAGCGGTCAGCCAATTCAAATAATTAAAGGACTCCCTACCTCACAAATTGCGCGCTCCAATCTTCCATCGCAATCCTGCGATACGCGGCGGGTGAGGCGTGTGCGACGCCGTGACAAGGGAGAAGTTCCCGGACCCGAGACACCCCTGAATGGTGCGGGGTCAAGCGGGCCCAAGATAAGTGAGTCCGCACTTCTTCCTCTAGGGGCGTCATGGGCAAACGTAGAATACCTGTCCTATAAGGTGTTATTTACCATTGTTCTGTGTAGTTATAGCAGTAACGACCGCACTTACGATATTGTTGCGTAACATTTACTCCGTTACCACCGGTACCTTAAAGGCACAGTTCACGATTATTTTGGGTAATCCAGATTATGATGAAAAATGGAAGACAAGATGGAAACTAGTGCGACTGAGGTGAAGAAACTGTGCATCGGTGTTTATAAAGTGAAAAAGACTTCCAAAAACCGTTAAAAAGGGGGCTGGACGGGAGTGAAATAAGAAAAATGAAGAAGAAAGAAACGCGTGCGGACGAGCTGAACAGTATGTTTCACTGCGCGGGTGAGGGTCCTGGTGCGAATAACAGACAATGGTAAGCAAAAATTCATTCACTTATAAGCATAAATAAACAAAAAAAAACCCAGTAGCAGCAAAAGTAGCTCACCTTTTTCAGCCTCTAGGAATAGGAAGTTAAATAAGGGATCGCAGCAGCAAAAAGAAAAACAGAGGAAAAAAGAATGGGAGAAAAACATCGCTTCATCACTCAGCGATTAGCTGATTGTGCGTGGGTCCTAGAAGGAATAATAGCAGTCCGTATTGTCTCAACACTCGTCTAACGAGACACCGATCGAGTTGCGGGAAAGCGAACTACGGCAGCAACGGGGCTTCCACTATGCCTTAAGCGCCGAGATTGTAGGAGCGAGAGGGTCCCTTCTACCACCCATGGGGGCGCTGAGTATTCCTGAAGGAAGAACCCAGTAACCTTTTTTTTGAACCGTGCCTTGAATAAAACTTTTGAACCAACCGCACAAGAAGTTTTCTCCAAGAGAAGTGCAGAATCATTGCAGCGTTGTACGTTGTAATGAAATATCCACGAAATATAAATTATTCGAAGCCCAAAACCCATGGTTCGAACGTGTGCATTTCGAAATCACAGTTGCTGCGCCGCTCGTAAAGTGTGCGGCCTGACCTAGTTTTAATGGCGATTAGAACGAAACGCACACGGAAATCAGTTGATGTTATGATGTACCTTGATATGTACGGATATTATTTATTTTGTTTATAATATACGTATATAAGACAGCGTCGAAAAGGAAAACATAAACGACGATCACAACACGTTACAACAGAATAAGAAATTTTTGAGAAAAGAGAGTGACAACTATGCTTAAATCATATTTCTACTAATTGCCCGTTTGGAGGAGCTCAGAGAGCCTTGATTGCTGGGAGCCTTGCTGGTTTGCAAGTATGCCAGACCAGCCCTTACGGTGAAAAGGTTTATTTTGAAAAGGTTGTTGTTTTGGGCCTAGAAAAGGATAATGTGAGCTGAATACCCCATGTTTTGGAAGGAATCACTGAGTAGAAAACCGAAAAATCAATCGGATAGGTTGAACTTTTTCCAGGGCGAAGGGAGTTCTTACTTCATATAAAGCGCTCGCGTCTGTCTGTCCGTCCGTCCGTCCGTCTTTCTGTCTGTCTGTCTGTCTGTCTGTCTGTCTGTCTGTCTGTCTGTCTGTCTGTCTGTCTGTCTGTCTGTCTGTCTGTCTGTCTGTTAGTACGGAAATTCATAACTCCTGTCTCCGTGAACCTAGGACGTTAAAATTTGGTAGGAGCGCAGGCGGCAGGATGGGAACACATATGATGAGTTGCAGGACCGGACTCCGCCTACAGGGGGCGGGATTTGTGCGAAAAACGTTTCAGAGGAAAATCGTAACTCCTGTCCCTGTGAACCTAGGTTTCAGAGGAAAATCGTAACTCCTGTCCCTGTGAACCTAGGAAGTTTGAATTCGGTGGGAGTACCCAGGGCAGGATGGGAATACTATGGTAGGTGGGAGGACCGGACTCCGCCTACAATGGGCGGGGTTTGTGCGGAATAAATCTTGAGTGAAAAAAAAATAACTCCTGTCTCATTGGACCTAGAAAACTCGAGTTTGGTAAGAGTACCCGATGCAGGGTGGGAGCACTAATGGTGGGTGGTAGGATCGGGTCACAGAGGGCTGGGTTTGCGCCAAAACTGTCGATTCGGCCCTAGGGCTTTCAAACTTGGCAGGAATAAAGGCGGCAGAATGAGAACACCTATGGTGGGTAGTAAAACCCGACTCCGCCCTTTAGGGGAGGGTTTTAAGAGAAATAGATGTCTGTAGAGGGGGCAGGATGGGAACATTGACAATAGAGGAGGTCCCAGAGAACAAGATCCAACCACCAATTGAACCATAGCTGCTTTGTTATTTACAATTTAGCTTTGATTCTTTGATATATTTCATTCGAGAAGAAGGGTAAGAGCACTGATAGGGGCCGAGTATAAGTAGATGAAATTGGGTTTATTTATTTATTTATTTGGTGCACGCTTAGGTGCGCTAACTACAATTCCAAGATCACATTAACTCAACAACCTGCACTCAATTGAAAGAAAGTATGGTTCAGAACAAAAGGTAGAAAGATCTCCAGTCAGGTGCAATAAGAAAAGATTGAACGAAAAGTAGGCACTACGGGAAGGTCAGATAGGTACTACGAGCTGTATGCTGTATGATAATTGAAGAGCATCCACATTTGATTTCATCAGG